AATAAAATATTAAATAATTATTATTATTATAATTAAAATCAGAGAATAATCTATTGTTTGATTAACGATTTGTTTAAAAAAAAAAAAAAAAAGTTTTGTTTCCGCCAATATTTTATATAATAACTTTTTTTTTTTTTTTTTATTTGCGTAAAAACCGTTTATTAACTTTCTTTTTTTGAAATTTATTTTTATAAAAAATGTATTGGTTTTTTTTATTTTCCTCTTATTTCGTAATATTTTCAAGATGATTCTTAAGATGAAAAAAAAAAAAAAAAAAAAAAAAGAAACTACCTTGAATCGGAAGTAAATTTTCTTGATTCCCTACTGCTTCTATTGATGTCACACACACACACACATTCAGTTTGGACAAGGTAGCTTCATATCGAGTTTTATATAGCCACATGCAAAACGTTTAAAGTTAATTTAATCGGGGTTCTATAGTGCGGAGAGAAAATCTCCGCTTATTTATTATAAAAAAAAAAAAAAGTTCTTTGTTTTTTTTTTTTTTTTGTTGAAATTAATTTATTTGTTGAAATGTACTTATTTTTTATTTTTTTCTTATTTTCAACGGGTACGTAAAATTATTTATTTGTTTTTTTTTTTTTTAATCATTAATATTTGTAAAAAAATTTTTTTTCAATAATAAGACTTTGACTTGAATGAATCTATTGATTATTATTATTATTATTAATCATTAAGAATAATAATATGGATGATTTTCGAGTTGACGTCTTACAACACACGTATACATTTTTTTTTTTTTTTGACTTTCGATGTTAAATATAATGTTTATTATTATTATTATTATTATTGATATGAAAGTAAATCACCTTTAAATGATATTTTATAACAAGGAAATAAATAAAATATGTTTTTAAAAAAATTTATAAAATGATTCAAAGTTTAAGACGATAAATTCATTTAATTAAAAGTTTTTTTGTTTTTTTGGTTTCGAATTATTATTATTATTATTTTAAAAAATATTTATTTATTATATTTAATTTTTCTTTGTTTCCTTTCATATCAATAAAAAAAAATTTTTTTTTTTTTGATTGATTATTTACCTTGTTATAGAGGAGTGAAAGTGATCTTGTCGTTTTCAAATTAATTCCGGTAACTGTAAAAAAAAAAAAAAAAAAATTTTTAAATATTATATACGCTGAGTTTATAATAATAATAATAATAATACGTTAAAATTACCTTTTTTACTTGATTGCCTTGAACTATGAATATGGATTAAAACGGGAATTTAATTACTCGCTTAAGGAATTTCCTTTTAAAAAAAGAAAAATAATTATTTTTGGCGGTTAAAAAATTCATTTTACGTAAATATATAAACATAATATTATTATTATTATTATTTAAATAAATGATTTATTTCCACGGTTAAAATAATAGAAATAGTTTGCACCGTTTGATGACAATAGTTATAATAATAATTTTTTTCTTTTTAATCGAGTGTCTTTATCAAAAAAAAAAAATATATTATTAATAAATAAAATCCTTTCATTATTTATTATATGATGATATTATAAAAATTTTTCTTACGTAAAATTTTTTTTTTTTTTTTATCGTCGTTAGTTACCTAATTTATTATTATTATATATAAAAAAAATAAAAAAATTTTACCATCAAAGGATTATTATTATTTTTTTTTTATATACAAGATTAAAATGCCAATTAAATGCCGTTTAAAATGAAAAAAAAATAAAGAAAGTAAAATTTAAAAAAAATACTTTTATTCAGGTTTAGAGTGAAAATACAACTTTCTCGTCAATAGTAGGAGTCTTTAGTACTACTTTAAAATGGCCTAAACAACAAGGATTTATTTATACTATTTATTTTCTATTAAAAAATAAAAAATTTTTTTTTTTTTTTATTCTACGAGTATTGAATAAATAATTAATTAGAAATTGCCACGAAACGAACGAAATCGGTCCTTTTTTTTCCGTTTACCAAAATAAAACAGAGAAACTTTAATAAACCTTCTTTATTGAACCAACATTTTTTTTTTATTCTTCACTCTCGATAAAAAAAAAAATCTCAATAATTTTTCAGTTGTCAGTCAAACAAAGGACAAAGAATTCGTTTGCCCTGATGTAGAAGGAAACGGAAATTTTGCTGACCCCGCCACTTGTAGGAGATTTTACCAGGTAATTTATTATTAAATTTTGATTTATTACAAACCGCCTCGGCTATATTATTCATAATTCATATCTTCTGAAAAAAAAAAAAAAAACATCATAACAGTTATTATTATTTTTTTTTTAATTAAAGTGTGTTGATGGATATCCGTACCTTAACAGATGTCCATCCGGATTATATTTCGATGACATAAATAAATTGTGCACATTTAAATCAGAAGCGCGATGCGGGCCCATACCAACGAGTAAGTAAAAATCAAATTTTAACTTTAACCTTCAGTTAGTAAATTAAATAATAAAAAGTTTTTATATGATTTTTTTTACTACCATTCGTACGTTTAACATTTACAAAAAAAAAAAAAAATTAATACCAGAATAATTTTTAGCTCCTGCTCCTATTACGGAAGCTCCGGTTGATTTAGCAGTTAAATGCAATACATCTGAATGTTCTCTTCCTTATTGCTTTTGTTCAAAAGACGGTACCAAAATACCGGGAGATCTTGATCCCGAAGACGTGAGTGTTTCATTTAAGTCTAATAAATTTATAATTCATATTTAAAAAGGTTTTGAACTGTTTTTTTTTTTTTTTTTTTTTTGTTAGACACCTCAAATGATTATTTTAACATTTAATGGAGCAATTAATCAAAATAATTATGAACAATATCAAAAGGTATTTCCTTCGACAAGAAAAAATCCTAACGGATGCGAAATAAGAGGTACTTTTTTCGTTTCTCACGAATACAGCAATTACAATATGGTTCAACAATTATCTCACGATGGACACGAAATAGCTACTGAAACAATTTCGTAAGTTAATTTTTAAAAACTAAAAAATATTAATTATTTATGAATTATCATTATATTTTTGTTTAACGAATTGAATTAAATTGATTTCCTTCGAAAAATTAACAAACGAATGTAACAGAGTTATTTTGGGTTATGATTGGAAAAAATAAAGAAAGAGAGAGAAAACAAAAATGTGTTTCCAGATTGCAAAGAGATCTTCAGGATAAGGGATACGAAGAATGGGTGGGAGAAATGATAGGAATGAGAGAAATTCTTCGGCATTTCGCCAATATACCAAAACAAGACATTGTCGGAATGAGAGCTCCTTTTTTGAAACCCGGTCGAAATGCTCAATATGAAGTATTAGAAGATTTCGGATATATCTACGACAGTTCCATTTCAATTCCGCCTTTAAAAGTACCTATATGGCCCTATACTTTGGATTATAAAATACCCCATGAATGCAAATCCGGAACTTGTCCAACCAAATCTTTTCAAGGTAACCTGGCATATATATATATATATATAATTAATTTTGATGCAAATAAATAAAGAACAATTATGGGAATCCTAATTAACCGAATATTTAATTATGGTAAATTATTAAGGGATATGGGAAGTTCCATTGAATGCTCATTATGTTGAAACCTACGAAGGAGGTCATTGCCCACACCTTGATCAATGCGTTCTTCACAATCACAGCGAAGATGACGTTTTTGAATGGCTACAAGAAGATTTTTTGCGGTATTACGAGCAAAACAGGGCTCCTTACATGATGCCGTTTCACACTAATTGGTTTCAAATAAAAGAACTAGAAAAGGGACTGCAAAAGTTTTTAGACTGGACTCAAACTTTGTAAGATATTTAATTTTCTACTTTTCCTTATTTAAAAAATCTACGAGTATAAATTATATATATATATTTGAAACTTTCATTGGGATTTTTAATTATTACAAAAAAATTACGATTTTAGACCAGACGTATGGTTTGTCACTATTACTCAAGCACTGGTATGGATGACCGATCCAACAGAAACAAAAACTCTCAACAACTACGATGCTTGGAACTGCCAAAAGCGAGAAATTTCAACTCCTGCCCCCTGTAATTTGCCTAACAATTGTGCTTTGTCGTTTAAACCAGGAGAGAACAACATAACTACAACTAGGTACCTGGTCACGTGCAGAGATTGTCCGGCCAAATATCCCTGGTTAGGAGATTCAGAAGGTACTGGCATCCCTGGTAGGGACAATTATACACCCGAAAGTAGGACTTAGCTTCAATTGAAATGTAAACAGAAGAAGGCTGTAAAAATATAATAATTTCAATGAAATCAATAATAAAAGTGGTTAGCAAATAATAAAACCAATATTAATGAAAGGTAAAAAAAATAATTTTAAATGAGATTTAACAATTAAATTATTCATTACTACTGGTTAAAATTAATATTGGGCATTCCATGTAAAGAAAACAATACATTCAAATTAAAGTTCAGCAAAACAAAATTTTTAATTTTACCAGTAAAGGTAAATAATTTAAAAAATAATAATAATAATAATAAAAGCTCAATTTCAAAAAAAAAAAACACATGATCTCAAAACCATTTTAAACGAAAACTATAAAATTTGAAAAGAGTTAATTTTTTTTTATATCATTTTTTTTTTTAAAGTCAAATAAATGGCTAGTCTTTTTTATAATGGTAAAATAATTCATAATCATTGAAAAAAAAAAAAAAAAAAAACATCTATAAAATTAAAAATTTAAATTCAAATAATAATAAAATATATAAATGTATCAAAATAATTTCTTATTTTATTTTGGGCTTTAAAAATTTAAACTACTTAAGTGATAAATAAATAAATTCCTTACATGGATTATAAAATTATTATTGATATACCCTATTTAATGTCACTGTGCATACAAATAATAATACATGTGAGCTATGATTAAATTGACAGTTATATATTCAGTTTAACATACAAACACAGGTACCTTAAAATAATAATAAAAATTATGTTTACTGCTGCAATGAAAACTTATAATAAATTTTTAAATTATTGATATTTACAAATAAATTACCTTGTTACTACCTTCCTCAGATATCAAATAATTATATTTCCAAAAAAAAAAAAAAACAATTTAATCAATAAAAATATACACAAAACTGATTCGAGTTTCAAAAATTAATAATAATTATCAAAATACATCATCCAAGACCACTTCCTCATCAATTTCTTTATATATATATACCTTGATATATATTTAAGCAACATATATTTAGTGGAAATTGAATAACGATTTAAAAATGATGTAAAAAACTTAAATAAAAGGATAAGAAAAAAAAAAACAAAACTTATAACATTATCTCACTAACAGTTTGACTTCAATATTTACTACGATAGTACCAAACGAAATGAGTTATCTGACAGGAGTCCATGGTACAAATAAATCCTTAATTTGAGTTTTTTCTATATTAAAAAAAAAAAAAAAAAAAAATTAAATCAGATATGAAATTTTCAAGTAATTTAAAAAATTTAATAATGTCCTATAATAATAATAATAATAATAATAATGAAAATTAAAAAATAATATATATTACCGAAAGGAGGAAAATCTTCAGGATGAAGAGAAATGTAATGTTTGTATATTGCTTCTTTCTCCATGAGGGCACCTAATCTGTAAGTATTCCATTGTTTGGCAAAAAAATAAAAACCACCAATGGACAAAAAATACAAAGGGACACCTAAAACGAAAATAAACATTAGGTAAATTTTATTGTTAAGTAAATTTTGAGTAATCATCAAAGGTTAATATTAAATTATTACCTGACCATAATGGTCTTCTTAATAAATAATTATACACGATTGGTACTGTTATCCCCAATGCTCCCATACTAACAGGAAAAAAATTTTTATCTTTCCACGAATAACCGCTTCCTTCACCGTCACGAAAAGTAAATAAATCTATTGGAGCTCCTGAAAGTTTTGGAGCATCAGGTTGACGAGCCGCTTCACCCGCATTCGAAAAATTACACGGCGCTTCATCCATATTCGTTGAAAATAATTACAAAGTGAATTAGTTAAAAATATAGACCAGCTACATGTAGCAAAAATTCAACTTCAATTGACCGTAGCTAATAATATTTGCAGTAGCAAAAAAACAAAAACAAAAACAAAGTTCATAGTGATAAGCCTAACGTAATTATAAAAACTATTATTATTTTTCAAAATGAATTGCTAAATTATTTTAATTACAAAAAGTATTTTTAATCTTTTTTTTTTTTTTTTTTTAATTATTGTATAAAAAAAAAAAAAAAAACATTAAAATTCTAATAGCAAAATTCACTGAATTAAAATTTTTTTTTTTCATTTTGATTAATTTTATTATTAATATCTTTGTCTAATTGTTTTTTATTGTAAAATTTGCAATTTATTACGTTTTTAATTTTTTTTTTTTTTCAGGCATTATTATATGGCACTTAATAAGATTATTCATGTTAATTATTATTTTGCATGAGATGTTTTTTATTTGTTAAAATAGTATTTACTAAAATTAAAAGACAAATAAAAAATTTTTAATCAATTTCAACATGAATTACAATATAAACATGTTGGATTTTATTTAAATTGATTAAACCTTTGTAAATTTTAAACATGGTCTAAAGTATTCAAAAACATTTTTTTTTTTTTTTTCGATTTCTACAAATGCATCAGTAAATATTTCACATGTCACAGCAATAGTTTTTATAATTTTGATTTTGCCCTTTTGATATATTTATTAAAATGTGTATTAATAAATAATATTAAGTTTTTTTTTTATTTATTTAAGTATTGTTAATGAAATTTGTTCTTTGCTTTCATAATATGAGATACATTCAGACATTTTCTTTCTAAATACTTATCAGTCATTTTGATTAAATGTTATTAAAAAATTTATTTTTTATTTTAATATTAAATTTATAAATATAAAAATAAATTAAAAATAAATTAAATAATAATAATAATAAAACAGACTTATTTAACTTTTTTATCTCCATCTACTTCATCTGCATATGATTCATACATGTTTCTGTATTTTTTGATGGCATTTATCACAAAATTTGCCGTTGAGGTAACTCTGTCTGGCGTAAAATAGGATCTCATAGCGTCCTTAGTCAGACCATGACCCGCAAATGATATCGTGCACAAAGATGTCAATGAACAAATTAAAGTATTGATGCATCCTCCTATCAGAAAAAGAGTGAGTAAAACTGCGGCTCCGGTGACAATTTTCGGTAAAACTTTCCATCCAAAAGCAGACAAATTCTTTATCAGTTTATGAATTATTCCGTGATAATTTTTTACACGGATTCCATCTGCAAACGAGAGGAGACCATTTTCTACGGCGGGTATCAAATAATCATCGTATTCGGATTGAATGTTGAAACCGTCATTTCCATAATGATTTATATATTGTTCTCCAACGGTTTGAATACGATCGTTTGGAAAAGAAGCAGACGATGAAACCGAATTTTCCGCATAAGGAATCGGCGGTATTTCTGCCAAGGCGAAAACTACACCGAAAACAGTTAAAATTATTGCTGACTTCATCATTTTCACCTGTTGAATAAAAATTATTAAAATTTTAAATAAATAAATAAATTTGATAAGCGTTGAGTACATGTGTACGTTTTTTTTTTAATTTAAATTATCTGTAACGAACGATAGAACTTGAAATTTTTATTTTTTATAAAATCAATCAATATGATGTAAGCGATTAAATTTATCAACAAAAATTTTCAATTTAGACGCTAAAAACGTTTACAAATTAAAATTAATTTTTTTTTATAAGAAATTTTTTTTACTTTTTTGCCGAACAATAAACCGTTCAATGTCGTTTATGATATTTATCTTAAAATATAAAAATTAATTTTTTTTTTTTTTTGAATTACCGCTTATGTTAACATAAAAACATTTATTATTATTATTAATTATTAGTAATTTACATAATTTAATTTTTTTAAACTTTTACTTCGTTAACGAAGCTTATAAATCGTCATCGCACCACAAACACAAAAAATCTTAAAATTATAAATAAAAAAAAATTAACTTGCCTTGTTATTATGTATCCGTTAGTATAAACCACAGAGTAAGAACCTTTCGAACCTTTCACAAAGACGTTTGAATAAGAAATAATAATTTTATGACAACGAGAGGAGCCTTTTAAAGGGCGAATCGAGGGTAAATTTAAAAATAATAACATTTTGTTACCCTTAAAATAATTTTCTTTTTATTTATTTACGTCGCTCTTTAAGAGAAAGTTTTTTTATTTATGTTTTGTTATTTATTGTTTAAACCTTTTCTTATCCCCATTAAGAGAGAGAGAGAGAGAGAGAGAGAGATATGTATTTAAGGTTTTCCCTTGAATTTATTTTAAAATTATATTATTATTGTTTAATTCGATACCGAATTTAAAAAAAAATTTTTTTCTACTCTAACTTAATAATTAACCTAAATATAAAAAATTTTATATTTTTAAGAACTTTTCATTATCAAGAACTTTTTAGTTCGTTGACTTTCTTTCTAAAAATACATTATAAATTTTTTTTTTTAACTAAATTTAAATATATATAAATAAATAAATATTTTTCGTTTAAATTAATAATAATTGATTGATTTGGTATTTGGTATTTAATGGTATTCCACAATTTAAACAATTTTTATTTTTAAACTTTTTTTTTGTTGAATAAATCAAGTTCAATTTAAAACCTCTTGGAAGCGACCGTAAATTTTGACATTGATTCAAAATTGCCGGTGAATAAAAGATTTTTTTTTTTTTAAATATCTTTTATAATTTTACAAAAAAATTAAAAACGAAAAAAGCAATTAATAACAGATCATAGAAACACAAAAAAAAAAACTTTTCCAACTTTACCCTTCGATATTATTCAGAAAATGTTATAAACCGGAAAGGATGTAATAATTTTAAATAAAGAAACTTATTTATTTATTTTTTTTTTTTTTTATAATTTGAATTTTTTCCTAAAATAACAACAACGACAACAATAATGATGACAAAAAAAAAAATAATAATTTCCTGGGAAATTGCAATTAAATAAATAATAATTTAATATGAACTTTAGATTTTTCCCGCACATTCGAATAAATTTTTTTTATACTCATTACGAAATTTTCCCTCGAGGAAAAAAGAATGTCAAAAAAGATTTTTTAGTAGAAGAAAAAATTATACCTGTTCCTTGGGGTATAATTTCAGTTAAATGTTGGAATACTTCGAATCATCATCCGGTTTTAATTGTTCACGGTTTATGTGAAAATTCTGGAGCTTTCGATAGGCTCATACCCCTGCTTTCTAATAATTTTTATTATGTTGCCGTTGATCTTCCTGGACACGGGTAAGTATTATTATTTTTAATTTTTTTTTTTTTGATTTTATTATCCGTTTTGTTAATTTAACATTGTATAACGGAATTACAAAAAAATTGAAACGAATAATTTAATTTTAGCATGTCATCTCATTTTCCTCGTGGAATACCTTTAGACTTTATGTTTTTTGTTTTTCAAATACAGCGAATAGTCAGCCATTTTCAATGGAAAAGATTGACATTATTAGGACATAGTTTTGGAGCTCATTTATTAGAATTTTATGCTGCCACATATACAGACAAGGTTTCAAAATTTTTTTATTCTTTTTATTCACCGTTTCATATTTATATATATTTATTTAGTTCATATGTCATCGCCTTTTTTTTTTTTTTTTTTAAATCGTTTAAAATTAATTTTTAGGTTGAAAAACTTATTTTAATAGACGCCATTTCTCCGACTCCGGTTGCTAGCGAAGCAATTTTGATTTTTTACCGAAATCAAGGAGAAAATATAATAAAATCAGAAGAAAATAAAGAACATACCACTTTTTACAGTTACGATGAAGCACTTGCACAAGTGGCGGAAAAACGAATGTCAAAATTAAAACCCGAAGCTGCAAAATTTCTTCTTAAACGTTGCTTAAAAAAAAATGGCGAAAAATATTCATTTACGACGGATTCGAGAATTAAATCTGAAATAAAACCTGCCATGACGGCAGAAATTATCATCGATCAAATAAAACAAATAAAATGTCCGGTCCTTTTGATTTTGGCAAATAACAGCGAACAATTTTCACTTTTAAATTCTTCCGGATTTTTTTCTTCTGCTCTTGAAATTTTAAAACGAAATAATTCGAGTTCTCGTGTGATTCGAATCGTCGGAAATCATTGCGTGCATAATAATCAACCGGAAATAATTGCTCCAATAATATGCAATTTTCTTTCAGAGATTAAAAGCAAATATTAACATATAGAAATAGAATCAATGAAAATATTGTCATATCACACGACGTTACACTATTAATAATAAAAAAACATTAAATTTGATTTTTAAACAACAACAAAAAAAAAAAAAAACTATAAAAAAAATGTTTTTTTTAGCCTTTCAATATAACTTGTATTTCTTCCAATGTTTTTCCTTTCGTTTCCGGAAGGCAGAAATAAATAAAACCTACTCCGATGCAACAAAAAACGGAAAACAACCAAAAAGTCCAATAGTCTCCTAAATATTCTTGCATTATTCCAAAACATTTGGTAAGTAAAAATGCCAGAATCCAAGAAAACGATGTTGTTAACGATGCTCCCAAGGATCTGACGTTTGAAGCAAACATTTCGCCGATCATAGCCCAGGGTACAGGACCAACACCTGAAAGAAAAGACAAAAAAATAAATTAATTTAGATTAATTTTGTTTTACATTCGGAAAAGCAAAAAAAAAAAAAAAAACAAACCGGCACTAAAAAATGATATGTATCCCAAAACGGAGAATAAAGGAATCCATGTTATATTTGAAGTATCGTAAGAAAAATATTCCATGCAAAAAAATCCTCCCATCAGGATCTGAAATTGTTTTTTAAAAAATAAAATTATTAAAACAGGTATTAAGGTTCGACTTTTAATTTAATTATTTAAATTTTGTACCAGAAATAATGTCATTCCAGTCATCGAAAGAATCAAAACCGTTCGCCTTCCTAATCGTTCGACCAAATATGGAGTAGGAAAAGATGTTAAAAACATGACAAACCCAACGATTATGGTCGACAAACTTGGGCTCAGCGAACTTCCCGATTTAGCAAAAATTATTTCACTGAAAAAAAAAAAAAAATTATTACAATAAAAAAAAAAGTTCGACCTCAATACAAATAAAAAAAAAAAAAAAAATTAACAATTAATTTATGCGATTTATGAGTAATTTCTGTCGGATGGGCTTAAAAGTGTATTTTTCATTATCAATGCGTATCTGATAAAAAAAATTGTTAAATTTTGTTTATTAAGTTAAAAGTAAATATTTAAAAGTTTTAATTGGGTCTTTTGACGCAAATCAAAGACAAAAAAAAATTTTTTTTTTTTTTCTTTTACATTTTTCCGATTTCGGGAAAAACCTAATTTTTTTTTTTTTTTTGAATTTTACGAATATTAAGTAGACTTATAGATATACTTATAGATATAAGTAAGTATTTTGCGAATTTAAAAAAAAAATAAACAGTAAAATTTTACCTGTAAAATAAAACGCAATTGATGCCACTTAACTGCTGCGCCATCATTAATCCAAACATTAAAAGTAAAGCTTTTCTATTTGCTCTTTTTTTAAATATATTCGTCCAATGTACGGTTTCCCGGAAGGATTCGTCTACTGCAGCCTATGGAAAAAAAAAAAAAAAATTTTACTTTAAAGTTTACGTCATTCAAAATATAAATATATAGATATGGGTGTGCTTACCTGTAATGTGTTAAGTTCTTCTTTGACTTCTAACGGTTTTTTCCCTCTGAGTTTTGCCAATGATTTTTCCGCTTCTTTAGAATTATTTTTCATCAATTCGTAATAAGGGGATTCGGGCATGAAAAAAAAAAAAGTAAAAAAAATAACCGGAATCAAACTGCAGGATATATTAAGCCAAACGAATGATAGCAAAGATCCGAGTATGTAGACATATAAAAACCCAGACGTGATCATTATTTGTCCAATCACTCCCAATGCACCTCTAGTCATTGGCTGCAGTCATTTTTAAAAAAAAAAAAAATTTAATTTCGTCAACGATTATTATAAATATATATTAAATCATTTTAATGTGCCTACCGTGGCTATTTCTCCCACATACATGGGCAAAAGTGACATTCCCCAACCGTTTGATATACCACCTAATAATCTACCGGCGTAAATCATGGAAACTGATTGTGCGACTGTCAAAATACACCAGGATGTTATATGAAGAAGAGCACCTAAGAGCAACGCTCTTTTTCTACCCATAAAATCTGCGGCAAATCCTAAACACACACGCACACGCACACGTTTAAACGCGATTTATAAATTATATAAATATAATAAGAATTATTTGAAAATATCACATGGGAAAAAAACCTGCTGGAAAAGGTCCGAAAATAGCACCGAGAGCAACCAAAGATCCAATCCAGGTGCTTTCGTCTGGAGTGACAAAAATGGTTGCATTTGTTTCCATTAATTTTGGTAAAACGGGCGATGGCCATCCTAAATTCGTTCCGGATACCATTAAAGTTATACTTGCTGAACAAAATGAAATTTTATTATTTAAAGGAAATCAAAAAAGGGGTGAGGGGGGAGGTTTTACACGTCGTCTGTACTCACCCGCTGTTGCAGCCAAATATTGTGGAAAATTTTTTGTCTTTTCTCTCTGATTAGTATCATTATCATTATTTTGGGGAGTTGCATCAGATTCACTTTTTATTAGCGTTTCCATTTTTCTTAAATAAATAATAAATAATTTAACGTTTAATAACAAAAAAAAAAATTTTAACCATCAAGTATTTTATTTAGAAAAAAATTTCCAAAAAAAAATCACGTGACGACTATGACAAAAAAAAAAAAAGAAAAATTTTTACGTAATTTAATTTACCTAATCATAATGCCTGTCGTCGTTAAGCTTAATTAAATATAAGAATATAAATTAAAAACGGAGTAATTTATTAAGTCAAGATAATAATAATGGTATTTTTTTCAAAGGAAAAATAAAAAAAAAAAGAGCCGTCCGTTAAATTTAAAATAAAAAAAATAAATGCGTCGCGCCCGCCGATTTGTATTTAAAACAAAAAAAAATTTATTTTCTTTTATTATTATTATTTATAAATCTAATAAATTTAATCGGTTTAAAAAGAAAAAAAAAATTTTTTAATTTTATTATTACATGACAATAATAAAAATGAAAAAAAATTTTTAATTAAAAAAAAAATTATTAAATTTTATATAATAAATAAAGAATCATGAAATAATACCTGAACTTGAATTGAACTATAAAGTAATTGTAAATAATAAAAACGGTATTTAAAAAAACAATAATAATAATAATAATAAATTTAAAAAAAAAAAAATTTTTTCACTCGATCGTCGCCGCCGTTTAAATTGTTGCCGTAGGTTGGAAAACAAAAAAAAAAATTTTTTTTTTTCTTACCATTCACAAACGTGTCGTGCGTATATCAACTCATATGTGAAAACCAAATGAAATGAATTGAAAAAATTATCTAAAAACTTTTAAGGAACGACATCATCATCATCATCATCATCATCAACAACAACAACAACAACAACAGAAAGTGTGATTAAATCAAAACTGTAATCTTTACGACAGTACAAAGGTGTATCAATTTTCCTTTTTTTTTTTTTTCTTTTTATTTCAATATAGTTTCATTTTAATAAGAAAAACAAAAATAATTAATTTAATAATAATAATAATAACTATTTTAAAAAAAAAAAATTCAAAAAATGACCAAATTTTTATACTCCACATATATATTTATTGAGATTTCTGTAAATAAATAGAAATATAAATGAAAATGATGATAATAATAATGACGTTTTATCGCAAAAATACTAGTTATGTAATTATTATTATTATTAATTTAGGTCTCTGTTAAAATTGAATACAAGGCAATACAATCGCGAATATGAAAACTTTATTTACTAATTGTTAAATAATTTTTAATTAGGGAAAACAAACAAACAAACAACAACAACATCAACAATAATTATTTGATAATTAATTTATTAATTGTGTTAATTAATTAATTTTTTTTTAAACGTAAAGCGTGTTATAATAATAATAATAATAACTTGGTCGCCAAGCATTTTTCATTTACAATAAAATCCTTACGATTTTCTAAATATTTAAATAAAAGAATAAAATTTTTCCTTATATAATAAGAAATTTGGTTTTTTTTTTTTAAATTTCTTGTTTTTTTTTTTCGCTGTTGCTGTTGTTTTTGATAATTTTTAATTTTTTTTAAATGAATTTATTTTTATTCATTTTCACGATTAAAATATATAAATTTACAAAAAAAAAGAAAATTCATGCCACAAAATAAATTTTTTTTTTTTTTTTTTTAAATAAAAACAAATCATGTTTCCATCAGTCAAAAAAAAAAAAAAATTTTAATTTTTCTTTTCAAATTTCTATTTTATAATCAAAATTTTTGACTTTTTGAAAAAAAAAAAAAAATTTTCTCGACGGTCACATGATTAAATCATAAAATATGAATTTGGATTTTTATTTTTAAAATAAAGAAATTGAAAAAGTAAAAAATAAATAAAATTTTCTTTTTAAAATTTAATTTAAATACGAGAGAGAGAGAAAGAGAATAAAAAAAAATTACTTTAAACAAAAGAAGGTAAAAACGTCTTTTTTTTTTTTTTAAATGCGTAATAATTTTAATAATAATGAATATGCAAAAAAAACAAAAAGCAAATAAAAGTTAAGAAAATTGTAAATTAAAAAATGTTGCGCAACTTCCAAACTTAAATTTCGTGTCAACATAAAAAAAAAAAAATATTTATTCGCATAATAGTAACGTTGATAACAAAATAAATCATTTTCATTTCCCCCCCCCTCCTATTATATCCGTACAATAATTATTATTTTTAAAAATTTTCGAATTAGAAAAAAAAGAAGAGAAAAATAATTATCTTTATATACAAACAAGAATTAAATTTGTTTCGCAAACGGAACAATTAAAAAAAAATTCGTTGCCATCGAATAGAGATGGGGGGGGGGGGCTTACGAGCAAATTGATGTAAGGCGTAAATCACCGTAAGGATAAATGAAATAAATGTTAAACAAATAACCGTCCGAAAAAAAAGGACGGTGAAAAATTAATAAAAATATTTTAAAAATTTTATTAAATTGTTCTATAAAGCTACATAAAGTGAATTCACTATAAAAAAAAAAAAAAGCCATTTTTTATTTTAAATAAATTTTTATTTTATTCTTTTTTTTTATCCGTTGTTGTTATTCCGGCGTCTTTGAGCATTTTGTAAAATATTGAATCTGGTTGAGACATTAGTTTTTGAGGACTATCAAATTCCGCAACTAAACCTTTATCTAAAACTAATACCCTAAAAAAATTAAAAAAATTACGATGATTAATAATAATAATAATAATAATGGTTAAGGTAAGAAGGTATTGCAAGAGTAAAATTTATAGAAAATCCTCACCTGTCCGAATCTAAAATTGTATTTAGACGATGAGCAATGGTGAGGACGGTGCATTCTTTGAATTCACGTCGAATCGTGTTCTAATTAAAATTTTATTTTAATTTGTTTCGTTTGTTGTTTTTTTTTTCATCGATTCAAATTGTATCGAGTAAATAAAAACGGACCCCATCACGAAAAACAATAAAAAAAAAATAAAATAAAAACAATTTGCATTAAGTGGTTGTTGTTGTTGTTTTTTGTTTTGTATTTTAAATTTACCTGAATTAAATCGTCAGTTTCTAAATCCACGGCAGCCGTAGCTTCGTCGAGTACCAATATTTTTGTTTTTCTAAGAAGTGCACGAGCCAAACAAATCAATTGTCGCTGTCCTACGCTTAGGTTATCACCTCCTTCCGTTATTTCGTGGTCCAGTTTTAATGATTGAGACATAACAAAAGTTTTTAAATGGGCAAGTTCTAAAGCTTTCCATATTTCTTGATCCGTGCATTGCATAAATGGATCAAGATTCATACGAATCGTACCCGAAAATAATATAGGATCCTGAGGTATGATTGTGAGCCTTGGCAAAAAAAAAAAAAAATTACTCGTAATAAGATTAAACGTTCAAAGTTTTTTTTTTTTTTTTTTTTTTTTTTTTAGTGGAAACCGTGTTAGTTTACGATTTAAAAATAATAATAAAAAAAAATACCTTCCTCTGAGATCGTGAAGTCCGACTTTAGAAATATCAATTCCGTCGATAAAAATTTTTCCACTACTCGCTTCAATAATACGAAACAAAGCTAAAGTTAAACTTGATTTTCCAGCTCCCGTTCTACCGACAATTCCAATTTTTTCTCCTCCATCCACAGTAAAATTAACTCCGCAAAGAACTAAATCTAAACCTTCTCTATATCGAGTCATGTAATCTTTAAATTCTACTTTTCCCTGGTAAAAAAAAAAAAAATTAAGCTTATATGTAAAAATTTTATATTTGTATCACGACCTGTTGAAAACCGTTTTTCTTAATCAATTTTTTATATATTTCGGTTAAAATATTCGGTGATTATTAGTTTTAATTAATTCATTCGTGTGATTCAGAGAAAAAAAATAATAAAAACGGAAGAGAATCGAGAAAACTAAAAATTAAAGTCGGCGGAAAAAAAAAATTTCTTTTTCTCGTAATACTAAAAATAATTGATTTAATACCGGAAATAGTTTTTGAACAAAATTAAATGATGTGTCTTACTTACCTTAGATGGCCAATTTTTGTCGGGAATAAAATTAGGATTTCTCCATTCGGCTTCATGGGGTATTTCTCCATATTCTTTAATTCTCTCCACTGATACAATATTAGTTTCAACATCAGATGTCATTCTCACGAGCCAATTCAAAGTTTGAGTCACTTGCATGGCATACGTCACGGATAAACCAACTAAATTTGCTTGAGGATTTCCAACTGCTTTACTTATAACTCCAAAAAGTGCGGAAAAAAAAATTATTAAACTTCCGATTGTTTCCAAACGTACAGCTAACCATCTGCAAAAAAAAAAGAAGAAAGATATTTCGTGTTATTGTTGTTGTTGTAGTTTTACTTAATCCTTTTGGGAAAATTGTATGAAATAATTTAAATTTTACAACCCTGTGATGGGATTTCAATCCTTTTAAAAGTTTATTAAAATCATTTTTTTTAACTTTTTTCATACGGATTAATTTAAAATGAGAGAAAAAAAAAAATTTTTTACCTGTTGGCGATAAGACTTGGATAATAACAGATTTGATTGATATCTAATTTTGATTCAGATTCATTTATGAATCTCTGTTGAGCTTGATAGGCACGTATTGTGGAGACTCCAGTAACGGTTTCTCCAAAATGAGAATAAATAGGACTTCGAGATATTGATTCGATTCTTTTAAGCTGCCTCGATGTTGCTACATAAAACCTTTGAATGAAGTAATATAGAATTCCGATAGGTATAATAACCGCGATAAACCATTGGGAAGAATAAGACACTACGACAACCATTCCTAAAACCTATTTTAAAATTAAAATAATAATATATATTAATTTACATTACAAAAAATTAAATATTAGTATTAAGCAATAAAAAAAAAAAAATTTTTAGAAATATTTTTTTTTTTAACGCAATGAAATCAAAATTTTTGTTACTGCTGCAAAGCTGTAAAATTAAAAATTGCCTAAAAAGTATATTAAATATTTTCCTTTTCTCTACCTAAATTAATATTATTATTATTATTATTTTGAAAATACGTTAAAAATTTAAACATATTTTATAAATAATAATGATAACAAAACTTTATACGAATATGTATAACATTAAATCATTAATTTTTTTATTTAAAAGTTTTTCACTCCCCTTTCCCGTTGAAATAGAAAAAAAAAATATAATATGTTGCGTTTCGGATTTTAAAAAAAAAAAGTCTATGTTTAAGCGATTGATGTAAATATATATATATCAAAATAATTAAATAAATTAAATAATTAGAATATTCGAGAACATAATTTTTTTTTTATTGTATTTTTCTCCGTGACACATGTGCGGAACCACAAATATATATATGATATGTGATGATGATACCTTGACGTGTTTTTTAATTTAAAATTAAAACACCAACAATAAAATTTATTAAATTTTATTGTTATTATCATTTCCTTTTTTTTTTTTTTTAATAAAGGGGGAATTTTTTTAATCCGAAGTTTCTCAAGTTAAATTTTATTGGACGGTTAACGAATAATTGTAAAATATTTCATTTTAATTTTTCCCGGTAGTTCATTATATAAAAAAAAAAAATTTCAAATATGAAAAACACAATAACTTAACAGCAAAACTAGTGAAATAAATTTATCAATAATTAATAATTGGATATTTCGAATATACACTTGACTCACACCGTTTCAATTTCGTCAAAAAAAAAAAACAATTTAAAATATTTCAATATCAATTTTTTTTTGTAGTGAAGAACAAAAAAATGGTGAATGAATTAAGAAAAAAAGTGAATTTTTGTGTTGAAGTTTGAGTGAGAATTTGATATTTAAAAAAAAAAAAAATTTAAAAAACTACTTCTAAGGAAAAAAAGAAAATGTAATTATTAATTCCTTTATCGACTTATGCATCACCTTGTCCTGATGTGAAAACATGATATCTTCTTACTCATGCCAACTAATAACTTTTCTTTTTTTTTTTTTCGTGTCAATATTGTGTGTTAAGCGAAAGGTTTTAAATATGTATATATGTAACGAAAAGCGAGGCAAAGGGTTAATAAATAATATATTAATTGACAATCGACCGTCAACGAAGGAATTATGTGCATGATTGCAGGGAGCCAACCATCCAAACAACACCCTATCATTTTCATTTACCAACCTGAAAAAAGCAGTACATGACTTCAGATAAATTAAATTGTAGGTCGTTGTCAGCAATGTTAATATCTTGAGAAAAACGGGATATAATTCTTCCGAGAGGGGTGCTTTCAAAAAATTGCATTGAAGATCGAAGAACAGAATGTATCATTGTGAAATGCATAGCATTAGAGCCTTTAATAGCACCAAGCCATGGCAATAATTCCGCAAGCACTGCAGGAATGGCTAAAACAAAATAAATATATTACGAGAATGAGCCAAGAAAATTAATGTATATATGCAAAGAAGAAAATATGTTTTTTTTTTTTTTCTTTTATGATGAAATTAGTCAGTGTATCGTTAAAAGAAAAAAAAAATTGTTAATTTATATGGAAATACCCATTTTAATTATTAAAACAATAATGAAAAAAAAATTTTTTCGGATGAAATCCCAATTATAATTTTAAAAGAAATATAAATATTAAGTAATGAGAGAAATACTTAATAATGTCACATACAAATATATCACATATGAGCCCAACAAAGAAAAATTCACATAATTTAAAAGCAATAAATAAAATTTTTTTAGATACGTCCCTGTTGGAAAAAAGAAAAAAATTCGATAAATTTATCTCAGTGCGTGTTAATCAATGAATAATTCATGTGTCACGTTTAAAAATTTTAATTTTTTGAATTTTTTTATAAATATCAAATCTTAAAACGTTTTATTAAATAAATATTATTATATATACCTAAATCAGATATTATAAAAAACAAGGTTAATTTTCTAAAATATCGACTTGATAATAATAATTAAAAAAAAAAAAAATTTACTTTTTGGAACCGTCCAATAATTATATATCTGTGTGTGTCTGTCTGTCTGTGTGTGTGTATGTGTGTGAGTGTGTAATCCGGAGTGCTAAATCCGAAACACAAAAATAAAAAAATTTTATTCTTTCACCGAATAATAATAATAATAATAATTGAAGAAATAATTAATTAATAGAAAGAGGAGTTTTTTAGAGAAAAAAAAAATGACTCAGACTTTTAATTAATAACGGATACAACGCGAAGTTGAATTTTTTTTATGTATTATTATTATTATTATCATTAATAAAATTTAAATTTTGAATGCTTAATTAAAAGAATAATTCCCGAATTAAAAATGTTATACATGTTAGAACGTAAGAAAAAGTTTAAGCGTAAGAAAATTTACGATTAAAAAAATACATAAAAAAAAAGAAATTACAAATTATCACACAAAACTTACCTAAACCTTAAATGATAATAATAATAAATCGCATGAAAACCTAAGAGAATAAATTTTTTTTTTTGTTTATAGGCAATAGTTAGATTAATTCGTTACCACATTAAGCCACATTTAAAATATATATATATATTATAAAGAAAAAATATAAATTTTAAACAGCTTTGCTATAGAATTGTAAAAAAAAAAAAAACGTTAAAAATTATTGTTTTTCATTTTCATTTAGCCTCTTACGATGATGGTTAATAAAAATCGATTTTCATTTATTTTTTCTTATTTATCAGAAAATACCCATAATTATATGTAAGTTATTTTACCGTATTTACTTATTTAAAATTAAATATTTTTCACGCGTTAAAAAAAAAATAATAATAATTTTAATAGTAATAATAAAATTTTCAATAACTTAACATAATTCGTTTTTGTTACTTACACATGTATGCGCGTGTTTTTACTGTGTGTATAAGTGCGTAAAAAAAAAACACACACACACACGCGCGCACATAATATATACATATACACGGACGCACGGATAAATTTTCATAAGCATACCGAAAAAAAGCAAGT